CGCCGCTGCTGAAAGCAGGTTTCTGGCCATTGTTTACCTTCTGTATTTGAAACAATGTTGGGATCCTGCTGGCTGAAGCGGCTGTCTGCAAACAGGTTTCTGGGGTTTTGTTTAGCTTCTATATTTGTAACAATGTTTCAAACTGCAAGCTCAGAGGCCGGCAGCTGAGAGGCTGGGAACGTTGGAGTCCTCCATCACTGAAGCAAGCCTCCCTGTTCGCATCAGCTGCCTGGCTGCCGGCCGCCATCTTGGCTGCGAGTTAATTTGCATATCTTGCTGATTAGCCAATGGGAAGGGTAGCAGTTGTACGCCAATTACCATGTTTCTCTTTTATTAGTGTAGATGTTTTTATTGATTTGAGAGAGAGTATGAGAAAGAGGGAGAAGCATCGATTTGAGAGAGAAACATCAGTGGGCTGCCTCTGGCATGCACCTTGACCCCAGGATTAAACCCACAACCTGGACACGTGCCCTGACCCAGAGCTGAACCAGTGACTTTTTGAGACAAAGCTCAGCCAACTGAACCACACTGGCCAGGGCAACAGTTGACTTTATTTTAAAGTGTTGCCTTTATATTTGATTTTTGGAGGTTCAATATCTATTTTCTAAAATCATTATAACAGAATAGATACTGGAAACATTCACAGAGCTCTTTTAAGGATGAAAGAGATAATAGTTGAGAAAAGATTTTGAAAATGATCAAACGTGTATTTTGTGTATGTAAGCAATGGTGTTGGTGAAAATAGAGATATTGGCCCCAACACCTAACACCTCCCCCTCCAAAAAACAAGCAAAGTGAAGCAAACCGTCCCCCAAATAGATGCTGTCTAGTGCTAAATCTTGTAATTAGGTTACAGATTTTCAAAATTAGAACTCTATAGCTTTTTATGATTCATAAAATGCAAGGCCATTTGTATTACGATTATGTGATTAATTCAAAATTTGACAGCTTCCACTTGGCCAGCTGCCATGAGGGAAGTGCTGGGTTGGCGGCTTCATGTTTGCTTCCCTCGAGCATTGGCTGTGGTTGGCAGTGGCTTCTGGATTAGTGAAGATACACACAGCGTGGAGGAAGCTTAGGATGATGAGCAGGCCATTTTAGAATGCTACGAGGAATTCATTTATTTTCAACCACTAGCCATTGCTTCCCTTCTCACTGCAAACCTGTCACGGTGACTTCAGGGGAGAACAGAAAAGGAAATTTTGTCTGAGAAACAGGAAAAATAGGGATTGACTGCAGGTTTAATGCATGTGGTTATAAATATTTCTTGTATAGAAATCCTAAATTCTTACTTTAGAATTCACTGTTTTCATTATGCAATGTAATCTAACAACAGAAAGTAAAAATGCCTTTAGAGGTTAGTTTTTAGCTCCTATTTTTATGCTCCACTATTTCTTAAATTCACATGTAGCTTAGTTATTAATAAAAACAACCCTTCTTATGAGCTAATCATAAATTAAATTTCATATCATTCTCAGTATCTTACTGATTGATTGGACAATATTGATTTTATTGAGCTCAAACCAAACTCATTATTTTTTCCAAAGAGAGAATTTTTTAATAGAAAACTTAAAATTGGTGACACAAGAATTATTTTTTCTCAGTCTTTGATGGAATAAAATAGCACATGGCTTAGTGTATCTTCAAGAATATTCTTCTCATGAATCAACTTTAATGTGCTGTTATGCACCACGGGCAGGATCTATGTGCTGTGTATATCAATCCGTCCAGGACTGCATAGGACCTGGGCATCACTGTAGCTCACCTCCCATGCCTGACCACAACCTCCTCACTCCTGGGAACTGTTTCCTCACCCAGGGAGCTGCTACAGTGCAGGATGTGCATCCTCAATGATGCTTCCGGATCTCCCACAGAGAGCAGATGGGAGGCAGAGAATCTCTAGATTTGGGGTCAGCAGACCAGGATTCCAGGGGGAGCTTTGTCACCGATAACCTGTCATCACACTGTTTCCTGACTTGTAAAGTGGCATGAGTAATACCCACCCTACTTATCTCATGTGATTGCTATGAAGAATCAAAACCCATTTTGTAAACAATAAAACCCTGTGATGAGGTATAGAAGCTGAGCTTAGACAGAGCCATGTATTCCTTGATTCTTACTGTGGGTGTGGAAATGGAGAGAAGCTGTGTCTTGTACATATTTTGGTGCTCCTTCATGTTTGTTTGTTTGTTGATTGATTAGTCACTGACCTTTTGTCCAAGTCACTCCTTAGTCCCTAGGCAAGAGATTCTTAACAATAAGTGGACTTTGATATCATGTCATCTCTCACCATTTGTCTGAAGCTAAAGAAACATATAGTACTGAGGTAAGAATTTTGTTTTTAGCACATGACAAGTTCGGAGAATTCCAGGCTATTACAAATAAAGTTTACTAAGTTTCAGTCACCATTTCAATAGCTCTTAATGGACTGACATCTAAACTGAGGCAAATGACAAGTACTTGGTTTAACAATCAGTTGTGGTTGCTCACCATTGCAGATCCAACGCGGCTGACTTTGATGGGATTCCCTCGGCCGGAAAGGTCCATCTGTGCTTTGTCCATCATGTGCAGGCAAGCGTCCAGGATGCCATCCTCAAACTAGAAAAAAAAATGAGAAACTACTCAATGTCTACTCTGTAAGCAAGATATTCTCTGGCAAAATAATAAAATGAAACCACAACCCAATGTTTAGAAGTGTGTATTCCTATATAGTAATTGCTCATAATCTTTTTTTAAAAATATATTTTATTGAATTTTTTACAGAGAGGAAGGGAGAGGGATAAAGAGCCAGAAACATCGATGAGAGAGAAACATCGATCAGCTGCCTCCCGCACACCCCCCACTGGGGATGTGCCCGCAACCAAGGTACATGCCCTTGACTGGAATCGAACCTGGGACCCTTCAGTCCCCAGGCCGACGCTCTATCCAGTGAGCCAAACCAGCTAGGGCTGCTTATAATCTTTTATACTTAATATTTCATAATAAAGTGGAATGAAGGAGACATCCTCTTTTATTTCTCAGTAAAATAAATAAGAACTTGAAAGCAAGCTAGAAATAGAAACAGAACTACTAGAGAACTGATGTACTTAAGGATCATG